GGAACTGGCAGGCGAGGTGATGCAGGATCTCGGCCGTTTCCTCGAGGTGAGGCTTGTAGATTTTTGCAGTATGACATGCCCCGTTGCCCCGGCCATGCGCGGTCAGCCCTAGGGCTAGAACTGCTGTCTCCTGTAATTCTTCATGAATGGAAGCTTCATGAATCGGAAGTCGTACACACTTTTTGTAACATGTTCGGTGGAAGTCACGGCAGCCTGCATGAAACCTCTATCGATCGCTGAATGCATGGAAGTTTTGGTCAATACGCGCCCAAGCGGATGGCCATCTGTTCTGGACAGCAATGTATTCATACGCCATGCACGACAACTCACTCATGTTCATGTACGCCAACTGGCCCTGACCCATTCCTAGCAGCCTATGTAGTCAATAGTTGGTCGTGGGCGTAGGGATAAAACTAAGGGGAGGGTTCACAACGGTAGATTGAGATTCGGGGGGATATACCGCGCGCGAGTTCCCCGTGGCTTTCTTTGTAAACTTGCTGATGTTGCAGGGGTAGCTCTGTGACATTCCATTGCAGCCGTAGCAGCTCCAATGTGATATCTACCACAACCGAAACACCGGCTTTGTGCGGTTGAATTAACCGCCATTGCTTCGGTGCGCAGCATAACAGCACACCCACGCAAAATGACACCACAACCAAGGTGACGGAGTTGGAGTCCACAGCACACTTCCCCGGTGAGATGGAGGTTTTGAGGGACGTGATGAAGGGTGTGGTCGACTACAACAGCTTAAGGCAACAGCTCACCGCCGACATGGCCGACAGCTCTCAAAGGTACGTGCGGCACAAGGTTGTACAATGCAGGGCTCAGAACCGAAAGGGGGTGCGACCGATTAACGACTCGACGCAACCTTGACGATATGAACTGCGATACTTTCAAGCAAGAAGCGGAATGATTGGGAAGAATGTGACGTACAGCGAACATTGGCTGTGAAAATAGTTCTGCCATACTTAATACGCTGATAATAGTGCAAACAGCATTACCGAAGATCGCGTGTACGAAACTGCGGCACGCCAGCTATTGTGTGGAACTCTGACGTGAATGGGTTTGCAGAGGACAGACAATACATCACCCCATGTGTCGTCGACGGCTCAACTCAACGGTTCATCCAAGCATGATGACATATTACGTTCTCGGAGAGCTGAAACGTTTCAGGTCTGCCGAATGTTTGCCACCAACAAATCACCTTTCGTCGTGGTGTGCATGCAAGGGTGAAAGCGTACGTCGTGAGAGCCGAGGATGCCCGATTGCTGGGAGACATGCCGTTGGTGCGAAAGATGTATGCCAAGCTGCACAACCTCAACAGGCGGCTGGTCGGCGAGTACGCAAAACGGGCAAACAATCACCACGTAAGTTGGAATTCCGGGCAAGCCAACAGCCGCAAACCCATCATCTTCTTTCGTGTCCATTTCCAGTCAACAGGCCTACTCTTTGGGGAAACTCAAGACGACGGGGTATTTATCATAAATCTCAGCTGTTACCTGTCAACCAACAACCGTTGTCGGACTTCGTAGAGGAAACTATTTGCGTGTGAAGTACCAGAAAAGGAATTCAGGTGTTTCCCATCTGCCCCAAACGATGAACTGGGCCAACACACATACTTGCAGAACACCGAGTATTTCGGTCACGATTGGCTGTTGGCGTGGTAAACCACAACCGGCTCATGCCACTGGGCGCCGCAATGCTTCGAAGAGCGAGGTTCTTGCCCCCCCATTTCCGTCTGCACCTGCATTGCTTTGCGTCCGTTTGTTCACACCAGGCACTACTTGCCGCCCTGAAGGAGGTCAAACAAACCGTGCAGAAGGTGAGAACGTCTTGAAGTGGCGACAATATAACATTGTCTTATGCGTGCTTACCTAGAACAGCTGAGAATCGACGTGATGTCTACCGCAAACAACCTACACCTACTTCCGTAAATCGTTGTGGTGATGATCTCCTGGTCTCAACCTGTGCAACCCAGACGAATAGGGCCCGCAGCTAAGGAAAATGATGTAAAGAATAAAAGGCTCAATTTCGGCCACAACATAAGAAACGTCCCAATAAGAAACATGATCGGGCAATGCCTCAAGACAAAGCAGCAAGGTGTACAAGCTGGGGGAGCGTGTCCAAAGAAACGTTCCACTGCTGTTGCTGCTGCTGCTGCCATGCTCCCACCCGATACCTAGCTCATGTATTTTAAGGTAGGGGGGGGGGGCAGATATTTCGGCGGCGCCCCCCGCGCCCCAGCGCCGCCGCGGGCTGCGCTACCCACTGCTGCTGTACTGCTGTACTGCCACAACCCCCAATGTTCGCCACACCGAGCTTTCGGGAAGCTGCATGAAGACTTGGTGTGTTGTTGTTTTCTTCGCCATCAGGAATAAAAAATATATATATATGAAAATAAGAAAATCAGCAGGATGCGACAGCCCAAAGGAGTAAGAACTAGTACATTTCAAGAACTTGGCTGACTTCGGCTGGTCCTTCTGCCCACAATAAGAAATCGAGGCTCGACCCGATTTTGACGTCTCTTACCTCCGGGTCCTCTCTGTAGTTACAGATCTACGTGGTCACTATCGTCCTGCACGGTATATCGTGACAGTAGACCAAGGACCGGGCTAACCGTGAAAACACGTCACGGTTGCTGACCTGACTTCAACCTTCAGAAAAGAGCTAATGTACCACTGCGACAGGAGCGGTTTTCAGAGCTGAAGCGAGACGCTAGTCAACGAGTAAACCCGAGGATAATTGCTGCATCATTTCACCTTCGGTGTGCCATCTTCCCTCGAACTCGTTTCCTTGGACGCATTCGCGCAGGCATCGAATCTGCGAATAGGCCAGGCGAAGACAAGAGTGGTATCGGACTGCCGGGCCGCGATCAAGGTCCGAGCGAGGAAACAATAGAGATGAAATGCCGACTGCAACCGTATGGATCTCAGGTTTTTCGATTGGAACTCAGGCTTTACATCCAAACCATTGGTGGTTGCGTTCGATTTCTCTACATAGAGCGAGACAAACCGCGAAGGAAGGAAGAGATTGTTCTCCGCGATTTTGGTCGCGTTCTAAACTTCTCTGTCATCCCAAGGCGTAAGGTTTAAGCCGGTAGGTACCGCTCTCGCTGTGAAGAAGCATGGTTGATCGCGCCGTGACGGCCATTCCTTTTGAGCATTAAGAAGCGCGACAAGCCATTAACATACGTGGGTGGAGAGAGGTTTGCTCACCTACTCTTCGGCATGCCCCCTTTTGTGCGCTTCTAGACCTTCTTACACGATCAATTCACTGATTGATACCAACACACCCCGCAGGCAAACAACGCGGATGGTCTGGTGCAGGTTATCTCCGACGGGCTAGATCCCCTCGGGGCAGGCGTCGTTCCGAGTACAACCGATGGACAAAGCGGACAGAGTCGTCTCGTCCCATCAGCGGGACGGGGCGAGAAGTAACGGGCAACCCCTTGTAGAGATAAGATAAAACGGGAAAAAGTCTTGTCCATGACTGCGATTTCGAGGATAGCAGGCCTGCGATAGGTACGATATGGGGATGCATGACCTGGCACGCGCAGGAGACTAATTGCGTGCTAGACGTAGGATGGCTCGTGTGGTGGACACATCGGATTATGTATAGCGGAGAAGTTGCATCGGGGCGAGATCTCCAGGGTGCTATGTGCACCAGCACCACCCCTTCGTTGCCCGGTATGATGGGATAAACTAGAATTGCTGGATGGCCAAACTATTCTAGTGGTCTACAAGCTAGTAGAGGCTTACTTCACCAGCTTGCAGATAGATGTTGTGCCATTTGCTACACCAGTTCCAAAAGTAATCCTCTCAGACGTTGGGCGTACATTATTCGCCGGAAATTTCCATGTTTTCAATTTCAATCCCCATTCGCCGCGGTCGTTCCCAACCGACGTAGTCTGGAGTAAATACCCAAGCTGTGAAGTCCCAATCCAGCAAGGAATCCCGAACGCCGAATCCTAAAGATCCTACATCTAACATATGGGTAAGACGGTTGAAAGCACTATCTGTACTGTACAACTGCTGACAAAATGGTGTTGGGTGGCATTGCTTACACCATCTTGCATGAGGCTAGCAGGCTAGCTTTTACCATACCATGACATGTGCAGTACCTCGGGACCGGGCTGGCGGGTGATCGATGTGGCCGGAGCCCCCGCAGGCATGGGGGATGATATTGCGGACTCCCCCATCCGCGTTGGGGGTAGCGGCAGGGTCGTTGTGGTTATCTCCGTTGACTCCTCGTCCTACCTGAGGCTATGGCAGTGGCGGCAAGGAAAAGATGCTCACCAGACAGAGCGATGCCGAAAACAGGGAAGATGCCTCAACAAACGAACGCCTCACCCGTATCGAGGATTCGTTGTTGCTGCTGTGTGCACAAATTGAGGTGGCGATCCTGAAGCCAAGGATGGAGGCCAAGCCCAAGCCCAGAGGCGACGACCAGGGGCAGGAGCCATCAAAAAGTGAACTACCCACTCGCGGTGCACACGAAAGTATTCCGCCATTCCCTACTACCTCCCGGCCGTTCGGTGATACGGGGGGCGGAAATGGTCGTTCTCGCCAGACACCAGCCCATCTCTCGGAGGGTGTGGGCGCGGCGATGATTGGGCAAGGAGAAGTCCGCAGTTGTGCCGCAACTGGTATGGTCTCACCGTGGTGGTGCTGGAAGCGATTTTGATATTTTGATGTTTCGATTTGTTCTTTTGATGGAGGAACTATTGGTTTTGCATGTTACTGCTGTGGTTTCCAACAACAGCAGACTAGACTTCATCTGTCGAGAGTCCTGTCATCAAGTAAGGTATGCATACGCATACTTACGACTGCGGTACATACTTCGTAAATTTTCTCTGGGGATTCGTTGAGGTTATCGCCAGGCTCGAGTCAAAAACAAACATTATTGTTGGCTTTTTGAGCTTGGGAGTCGTCACACAGTTGGCAGCCAGCTGTGGGTAGGTCCTGCCCCCCTGCTTGTTTCTTCTTGCATCACACCCCGACATGTCACTGTGCTCAAATGAGCCCGCTCCAGAGGGATTCCTTGTGATCTCATTTGCATCGTCTACAGCAGTCTACGAGGTACCAGTCTACTGGGTACAGAACCAGCCCGCACTTAAGAACCTCTTATTTGGAGCGAGGCTCGCTTCTTGTTGGCTGCCCCAAGCCGAGCACAAGTTCTTATTTGCCAGGTTCNCAACTTTTTCAAACATTCTCCGTTTGCCTCAAGTTCTTGAGGAAGGCAAGGACGGTACAGTAGACACAATGGCGAAAAAGAACGCGTACACGAGCGCCGTCCCAACCGTATTTTGCTGCACCGTGATATAAACACACGAGAGACGGTCATGTAATCATTAATCATCCCTTGCCCCATCTGCATAGATAGATATATTTTGCCATCGACATCCACGCAATTTCAGGTCCACAGCTCGTTGAATCACCTGCACCTCGATTCCGCCCTTCTCCTACCGCGCCGTGCAGATTGAGCGAACTCGCGGTGGTGTCACAAAGCATGTGTCCGGTATCAACTTTCCACCTCCGCATGTGCCCGGTATCAACTTCCCACCTCCGGCCCCGGAGCGGCGCATACCGTGCCCTCACTGTCCCATGACCTTCGTGAACGAGCAAGGACTTGGGATCCACGTGAAAACACAGCACAGCAATGCAAACATGTCCAACGGCTTGCGGCTGCAGCGGATGCTAGGGAAGACTCCCAAAGGGTATGTTCAGCCGTGGGGAGAAGCCGGGCCTGGACGTTGTTGGCACGTGAAGGTCGATGGTGCGACGGGGGCGGCTTCGTTCGTCCTCCAACGGAAGCGCTTCCGCGACCTCGACTTGGAAAGCGACGGCTTTACGGAACGCAAAGTCAAGGAGGCTCGTGGAGCTGTGAAGCGCAAGCGATACGATTTCAGGTTCAAAGCCCATGTTGTGACCCAGCTGCGCCTCCTCCAGGAAGACGCCGCAGACCTCTTCAAGGAGGAGCAGCTCACGCCTCTCCAGTACTTAGAGGACCGTCTCAAGGTTAACTACAGCCTGATCGTGAAGTGGGCTCAGGACGAGGCCAATATAGTCCAATCGGCAGCAGATGACGTGAAGAAGACCCTCCTTGCCAAACAGCAGCCAAAGCGGTGGTTTCCTGAGGAAGAGAAGAAGCTGTACAATATGTTCTTGGCGCGGCGGAGGAGGAAGCTGAAGGTGTCGACCCTGTGGCTGACGGTCACGTTCCGGAAGCTCGTGCAAGAGAATCACCCTGAGGACCAACGGGCGGCGGCGTTCAGCGCGTCCTTCAGGTGGGCACGAAAATGGGCAAAGAGGCATAAGCTGTCCAAACGGCGCAGGAGCAACCTCAAGAACAAGTCTGTTGAAGAGCGCCTACCAAAGATCCAGCGCTTCCACCGGCGGTTTCGCAAGCTCCTGCAAGAGCCGGTACGGTACAGGGCACCCGAGGCATCGGACGTGTCGGCGATGTCGACGGTCGCGGAGGGAGAGTCCAGAGATCCCAAGTACGGTCAGTTCCAGCTCTGGGAGCGTTGGAATGTGGATCAAGTGCCTTTGCCATTCGTGAACGGGCTGATCAGCACGTGGGAGAAGACAGGCGCGTTGCGTGTAGCCATCTCGCAGCCCTTTGCTGGCCTAGAGAAAAGGCAGTGCACCATGCAAGTCATCTTTGGTCCGGGTGAGAAGACTATGCGGATTTCGGTGATTTTCCGAGGCCAGGGGAAGCGGATTTCGCCGGTGGAGAAAGCCGCGTACCACAAGGACGTGGACGTGTTTTTCCAGGAGAATGCGTGGGCGGACCAAAAGTTCTGCATGGAGTGGGCCAAGAGGTCGTACCGCGAAGGCCTGATCCGCGGGCGGGGTGAGCTCCCCAAGGCGAGGTCCATTCTGATAATGGACAACTTGTACGCGCAGACTACGGACGAGTTCAAGGGGTATCTTGCGAAGCAGTGCAACACTATCGCCTGGCTTGGCCCTGCGGACTGCACGGACGAGGTGCAGCCAGTTGATGCAGGAGCCGGACGACTTCTCAAGGTGGAAGTTGGTAACGAGGTGGACAAGTGGCTCGATCAGTCGAACAACATCGAGAGGTGGGAAACCGCGTCGCTGACAGCATCTGACCGGCGCGTACTGATCACTCAATGGACGGGAGCGGCCATGGCAAAACTCAACAGCAATCAGGGGTACCGACACCGCCTTTTCGAAAAGTGCGGGATGGCGATGACCGTGGACGGCTCAGGCGATGATCGAATCACCTTGGAGGGTTTGGACCAGCCGTACACCTTCGCAAACGATGAAGACTCCAGCGAGAACGAAGGAGGTTCGGAGGACGGCAGCGATGGGCCCGAGGGGCGGGAGGAGGAGGGCGCCGGAAGGCGCGAGCCGGTCGTCGGGGATGAGCGCATTGGTGCCAACAGCGGGGGAGGCATGGAGGGCGCTGGATACAGCGATGAAGACGACGACAGTAAGTTTGATTGGCACTACATAGACTACAGTTAATTCATTGTCCTTTTTGTTAATCTTTTCTTGTGCTGTTTGGGATATTGCTGATATTCTGTTTCCGCGTCACGTCTACGAACAAATGTTGTGTTCACTTCAGTTGAGTAACGGCGATGACACCCGTACGTTAATTCACGTGTTTCACGGTACCCTTCGTCGCAGACATGTCTCAATCCCAGACCGACGAGCTAGCTCTTTTGGACGAGGACGACAGCATGGACCCAGACGACCCGGAGGACGAGACGCAGGGAATGGAGATCCCGGCGGGCTTTCGCCTTCAAGAATCTACCCCCGCTGCTCTTGACAGATTGCTTTTGCAACGTGGAGTGGTTGTTCGGCTGGGCATGGGGTGGTTCGGTGTGTTGATCATTCAGCAATCTCCGCAGCGCCACCTGTACGACTACTGTGTGCAGCTGGA